CCAGGAGTGACCAGGAATAACCGTCACAAGCTGGCAGAGGGGAGATTCAGACTAGACACCAGGAGGCGCGACTTCACGGTCAGGGCAGCTAGGATCTGGAACCAACGTCCAAGAGAAGTGGTGCTGGCTTCTACCCTGGGGGGCTTTAAGAGGAGGTTAGATGAACATCTTGCTGGGGTTGTTTGACCCCAGTACTCTTTCCTGCCATGGCAGGGGGTCGGACTCGATGATCTGCTCAGGTCCCTTCCGACCCTAGAAACTATGAACTACAAACCAATGGCTTCAAGTTGCAGCAAAGCTGGTTTAGGTTGGATCTCAGGAAACGTTTCTTCACTGTCAGGGCAGGGACAGATGCCCAGGGAAGTGGGCGACTCTCCATCACTGAAGGGGTTCAAGAAGAGGGTTTCCCTCTGCCCCACCAATATCACTGGACAGCCGCTGGGCAGGGGTGATCTAGGTTATGTTCCACTATAGGTATTGCTGCATGGAGCTGGGAGGGAATCTCACCTGCGGCAACGTGTGTCAGGTTATTTTTTTTCCACCTCCCCCAGCAGCGCTGGTGCTGCTTCAGCCCAGGCTGGGGATGGGCTGAGCCAATGCTCCTACTGGCACCAACCTGCAGGGTCCTGGCTGGAGGGTCTTGCCCCTGCACTCAGGCTCAAACCGACGCTGCACTGGGGGCAGGAGGGGATTTTCCTCCTGCTCAGACTGGTCCAGACTGGGGAGGGTTTTGTCTTCCTCTGAAGCAGGGGCACAGGCTCTGCCTGGGATGCTCAAGAGATATTAACCCCCTTTGCAGCAATATGGCATCATCTCCACAGTCCCCTGGCTTTCCCTGGGGCAGGTTCAGGTGTGATGTCTGGTATCGTGTCAGGGCTGACCATAGTTTTGCTGGTTTAGGTGGGGCTGATCCCGCCTCAGGCAGGGGTTGGAGCAGAGGACCTAAGGGGGTCCGTTCCAGCCCGCCAGCCCTTTGCATCTATGAAACCATTCGCTATTCTCTACACCTGCCCCGACCCGCTCTCACACTCATGCCCTGGCTGACCCAGTCGTGCTGTGGTGCAAGTCCTCTCTTGTACCACTGGTGTTTTCCCCCCCCATCTCTGCGTGCCCCTTACACCCTGGTTGGGCCGAGACAACTCTCGGCGCTCCACCCCAGAGCCTGTCTACACCAGATCCAGGTATCATTTTAAAGCAGTGCACAAAACCAACGTGCAAGACTGATGAGGAAAGCCTGAAAGAACTAGGGCTACTTAGTCTGGAGAAGAGAAGACTGAGGGGGGATTTGATCACGGTCTTTAAATCGCTGAAGGGTGACAGCAGGGAGGATGGAGATGGGCTTTTCTCTGTGGCTGCAGAGGACAGGACTAGGAGCAATGGCCTCAAGCTGCAGCTGGGGAAACTGAGGCTGGAAATGAGAAGGGACTTTCTGACTCTGAGGAGGGTCAAACACTGGAACAGGCTCCTAGAGAGGTGGGGAATCTCCATCCTAGGAAGTTTTCAAAAGCAGCTTGGACAGACGTGTCTGGGCGGTTTAGTGAGGGATGCTCCTGCCTTGAGTAGAGGGCTGGACTCAATACGAGGTCCCTTCCAGCCCTGCTTTCCTGTGATCCCAATTAAATGACACTGATATCAAAGTGTCTCAAGTCCTGGCCCCCATGCACTGTTGGAAACTCCCCCATCACTAGACACAGTGCAGGCTCCCAGACTCCTGTAGCCCCAGCTGCCTGCATGGCAGGGGGATACTGGGGAGGGAGCTTTGTGCCTGACAGCAAGCCTCATTTCTCCCAGCCATGCAGCTGGTCCAATAAAAGAGACCACCACAAAAAGTCCATGGCTCTGGGTCTACCCGCTCTCCCCAGCCCAGCCCCATCCCTCCAGGCTGCATCTGCGACTCTTACCCAGCTCGTCCCAGAGCTGCCGGCACTTGTCCGTCATGCCTGTGCCCTGCTGGCGCCAGAGCGAGAGCCGCGGGTCAGCCATGAACTGCTCTGTGATCAGAGTCAGCATCCGGGCCCCGTTCGAATCCCTCATCCGCAGCATCTCGCGGACCTGCGCCGGGAGGAAGGGAGGGGGAGAGAAACCCTTGAGTCTGATGGGTTCACTGGGTGGGTTGCCCCTTGCCCGAGACACATGCCAAGCCCCGCACTATGTGGTGGCCTCTCCAGTCTCGAACACATGAAAGACTGGGCAAATCGGAGCGCTCGCAAATCCCGAAAGCGTGGGCAGCGCCTCACCTTGGCGAACATGGAGTTGAGCTGCTTCCCGGAGCCATAGTAGCCTCCCTGAGAGAGGAACAGCTTGACCTGCTCCCTCACTTGCTCCTCATCCAAATGCCAGCAGTTCTCGTCGTCGATGCTGGCCCCGGCAGTAGGGTCCGGGGCACCTGCGGGGAAGGAGGTGACAAGGTTTAACATCACGCCAAGCAGCCTGTCTGGCCCCGCTTCAAGCCCCGGCCCATTTCCAACAGCTGTCCAAGATCTGCAAGGGGACATTACTCCCGTGCTGCCACCGGTGGGTGTGGACAGGCAGACATGTCATGCCCAGGGGAAAGGGGAAGGGATAAGCTAGACTGTGGCAATTGCTTCATGTGTCTGCTTCTATCCCGGGGGAAGTGGAAGCTCAATCACAGCCGGGTCATGGAGACCCAGTCCCGTTTCAGGCTCAGCCACTGGACTCAGACCACAATAACATCTGAACACCCCCGTGGCCAGTGGGGGCAAGCAGTCCCGGTTCAGCTTGCACTTCCCCCGGGATAGGAGCAGACACATGAAACAGTAACTGGGGAACAGATGATGCAGGGTGAACTCCCGCCACTCCTTACCTCCAGCAACTGGCTCATCTGTCCAGACCTGGACCAGTTTTTAATTGTCCCATGTGAGCGAAAGCAGAGCCTGCAGGAGACGCTGGTCTCAGCCGACTCGGGGGTCAGTAACATGGGGGCTGAGCTCATGGCATGCTGGGGGCTCTGTTCCCACGGCCCAGGTCCTACCACCAGACTCGGGAAAAGTCTCACTAGTTGCAACGAGGGTTCAACAGGGACCTTTGGAGGGGTCCATGTGACAGGATCCCAGGGCAGGATCGGGGCCTTGAAAGCACCAGCCCAAGTGATGGGGGAGAGGGGGCTCAAGTCAACAGGGGGGGAACAGCTCAGCTTTAACCCGGCTCTGGTTTCCCTTGGACCATCGAGCTCAGTCCTGGCAGCCTGGTGCCAGACGGCAGCGCGGCCTGATGGGGAGAGCACTTGAGAGCGCCAGATTGGTGACTGGTGCACTGGGTAACATGCCCCTTGTCCTCTCTGTGCCTCAGTTTCCCCATCCTGGTAAAAAGCCTTCATTGACTTCCTTTGCAATGTGCTCGGAGAGCCTTGGAGGGAACAGCGGGGTGCTACCCATCCCGACTCACACAAGTACCTCCCCAAGACCCTAGCAGGGTCCCATTCCTTTGCAAACTGCTGGCTCAAAAGGAAAAACTCCCCAAGCCCCAAACCAGCGAGGATCGGCTTTTCCCTCCCCTCCAGCTCTGCTGCGCGTGCCTTTCAAATGCTTGCGAGTCTCCGTTTGGTGACACGCGGCCAGCAGTGCCTCTCTGCGGGGCAGGAAACCGCTGCCGGCTAGCAGCTGGTCGCACAGCGGCTACACCTGGTCGGCATGAAAGGCCACTGAAAGCCAAGAGCAAAGCCAAAAGGAGCCCGGTGGCAAGACAAAAAAGGCACAAAAGTCAATGAGGTTTTTGCCTTGGAAGCCGTTAGACAAAGCCTGGGGATATACAGGATGGATCATTTATTCGCCGGGTGGTGCAGAGACCCCTGCTAAACTCCACCAGCATTTTGCAGCCTGTCAAATTGAGTCAAAACACTGCCTTGCTCATCCCCCCCCCCCCCGGACACGCACCCTTTTTATTTATCCGTAGCATTTTAAACCCTTTCACGTTCTTCAAAGGCAGCTTTGTGAGGAGCCGAACAATGGCACGACTTTGTAAAAAATTATCAGCAACTCTGCATCTGGATGCTTGACATTCGCTGACAAAAACCCTCCGCCACACGGCCCACGACGGGTTTGGTTCTGCAAAGCCAAAGGGCTCGAGAGAAATTCCTCAGCAAAAGAGGGTGACAATCAAAAATCAATGCGCCTCCAGCACGCTCTGAACTCTAACCTACTTCTCTCATGCTTATTAGCACCCTCGAGTGGGTAAGGGGGTCACCGCTGGACCAGCCTGGCACTGCGCACGCAGCGCAGGGAAAGCGGGGGCCCAAAAGTTTCCAATTAAATGGTTGTGATGTCTTCTTGGCTGCGCTGGAGTTGGATCAGGAGCCCGCAGCTGTGGTTTCCGGATGAGCTGGTTGGAAAACGCCGCTCCCCTTTTTCCTGCCGCCGCTGGGAGTTCCCAGCGGGGGGGGTTTCAACCCTGGGGCATATGTTTGCTCCACTAAGACACCAATCCTGACTCGGCTCCGAACGCAGCCGTCGGCTGATGCTCCGGAGACGATGGAGCCAAGGTTGCTCGGTCAACAGATCCCAAGCAACCCCAACCCCAATCAAGAGGACTACATCTCACAGGCTTACAAGCAAAGGGCAGCCAACCCTGGCCCTGCAGCACGGGGCGCAGAATACACCTGGTCTGGTGCAACACAGCCACTTGCCTTCTGTGCCTTTCATTTTTCCCAGTTCATAATTGCAGAATTTGCTAATTTCTTTTTTGCCTTTCATTTTTGCTTCAGTCTGCACGTGAGCCTCGGGCACTGACTGTGCCATGCTGAAGGAAAAGGCCGAATGCAGCTCTCAGCAGCAGCAGCAAGGAAACGACAGGCTGCTGGAGAAGCACGGAGGTGGCTCGACTGGAGCGGGAGACGCTGGCTGCAAGAAGCCGCCCGACTTGGGCGCAACACGCTGAGACGTGGCACCTTTCATATCAGGTCAGGAACCTCCTTCCACAGGTTTGCTGGCGCGGACAAAGAGGCAGCCGACCGTTGTGGTTACAAAGAACCAAGACCTTAACACTGCTCGTTTTACCTTGTCTCAGGAGCCCCGGCCTGGAAGAGACCTCTCCTGCACAGATGCACGGATACCCAGAGAGACGCCTGTTCTTCCCACAACTTTCCTGGGCAGCTTGTCCCATTGCCCAACTCAACTGAGACATCAACCCCCATGACCGCTGTGTCTGAGTCCCAGCAGGTTTACCCTCACCATCCCCACCATGGCACAGAGCTATGAGCACCATTTTTCAGAGGAACAAGGAGACAAGGTGACTTGCCCAAGGTTGTACAGCTGAATTGGTGGCAGAGCTGGGGACTGACTCTGGGTTCCTAACTGCTAACCCCTGGGCCGTCCATCCTCATGGTGCTCTGAGCACACGCTGCTCTACCCAGGTCACTGAACTATAAAAAATTCATAGGAAATTTGGGTTGGAAGGAGGTCATCTAGTCCAACCCCCCAAGTGTGGCAGGGACATTCAGGTCAAGGTCAAGGCTGAGGCTCAAAGGTCAAGGGTGGCAGGGGCATTTAACAGGACCCGATGGGTGAAATTTAACATGATTAACATTTAGGAGAAAACGAGCCACAGAGCTCAGGGCTACGGGAAGCAGCTGACAGCAAGAATCTGGCTGTTCAGAGGTGGCCTGGATGCCGAAATGGAGATCGAGGATAACCAGTGCTATGGGAGCGACTGCTAACAGATGGGTACGGAGATGAACAGGGCTGGGTTGAAAGCAACTGCTTGCAATTAAAGACAGGGAAGTGGCCCGCTGGCAGGACAGATACCTCCTACCCACCACCCCCTGCCTCTTCCACCTTCTGCCAGGGACATGATGACAACCCATGGTCTTGGGCCAAACTAGTCGACCCATATGTATGTAACAGGTCTGTGGAGAGCACCTCTGGCAGGGGGTAAAAAAAAAAAAGGCAGATTTAAATTTAAGCCTATTGCTAATGAGCAAGAGGGCTGTATGAGAGGCATGCACGATGAGAATGGGCAAGGAGCTGGGAAGGGGCAGACATGAATCCTATGCTCCCATCATCCCTAACGAACACGCTTGCAAACAGAGCGCATGCACAGGCGAAGCAGATGCGCACATGCACTGCGAAGGAAAATTTCTCCCTCCCTGCCCTGCCATCAGCAGTTGCGCAGCCGAGAGCTGGATCCCGACCCCGGTGAAACGACGGCGCGCTTCCTGCCATGCGAAACAAAGTCTAATTATTGCTTGCGCATTTGTTTTGCTTTCATATAAAAGATTCATGGAGGATGTTGTAATATCAGACTCCTACGTGTGCGACAGGGAAGAGCAGATAACGTGCAACCAATTACACGGGGGAAATGGAGAAACAGGGACGAGTAAACAAAAGGACCGGCGAGGCCTTTAAATATTGATGGCAGGGATCGTTCATTTTGTGCGGCCGACACGAACGCTATAGTAACCCAGCTGCCGGCACCGCGATGACGAGATGGGACCAACTAAGAGCGATTAGGGCTACAAGCTGGCAGGGAAGGGCACAGAAAGGCCGTTCTCCAGTCTCCAGTGGCACCCCAGCTCCAAAGGATCTGGTTGAATAAACACACTTAATAAATAATAATAATAAGCTGAATAAATCCATATATTTTAAGCTATTTAAGGAAACATCACTGCACCTCTCATGTGGAAAGGGAGCTCCATAAACCCACCATCAGGCACTCAGACCCCAGATGGAAAGAAAACCCCTTGCTCCTGCCTCAGGGCATAATTACTGTACTTCTCTCACATACAGTATTCCCCTGAATATAATACGCACGTTGTTTTTGAAAGGCAGAAAGAGAAAAAAAAGATCTTTCCAGAGTTACAGCTGCATAAAGCACGGACACAGCCTAATCTTCAGTGGACTCACCCTCCCTTCTGTACTAAAGCTGAAACCCTAGCTGCTGCTGAAGACTGATCTCCATGGGGGCAGATTTATCACTTTGAAAAGAGCTAAAAAGTCTCCGAGGCTGTGAAATAAGAGGAGACGGACCAGAAACAGCTGGCAGACAGCAAAAGTGCAGTAAGAAAGGCTAGCTTGGTTAGTGGAACAAAATCAAGAGCACTAAAAAGGAGACAGCGTTGTTAAAACCTGGGGAGTGAAGAAAAATGAACCATTAAGTCAACTGACTCCCTCCGCTACCTAAATAGAAATGTAACAGCTGCTGCCCTGTGGAGCAGGAATCAAACCCCAGGCAGAAAATCGGCTTCCTCATTTGATACACGCACCATCATTTTGGGGAGCTGATTTTTGGGGGGAGAAAGTGCATCCTGTATGTGGGAAAAGATTTTTTTTGCTACAGTAGTACAGCTGTCTCCTCATGGGAAACCCCTCTGGGCTGCAGGATGATCACTGAATCAGAGACAATGAGGGCAGGAAGGGAGCTCAGGAGTCGCATCCAGTCCAACCCCCTGCTCCAAGCAGGACCAGCCCCGACTACATCATCCCAGACACGGCTTGGTCTACCCGGGTCTTCAAAACCTCCAAGGACGGAGATGCCACCACCTCTCTGGGCAGCCTGTTCCAGTGGTTCACCACCTCCTTGTGAGACAGTTTTTCCTAATATCCAACCTCAGCGTCCCTTGCTGCAGCTTCCATTGCTCCTTGTTTTGTCATCAGTCACCATCCAGAAGAGTCCAGCTCCACCGATGCAAAAACTAGCGTCTGAACACCAAACGTTGAGCAGAGTTGCTCCAAAACAGGGTGCACGAAGTGCAGGAAACCCGATTTGGCCTTGGACTGCAATGGACAGACTCTTGCCAGGATCAAGACCCTCCCTCTGTTCACTTGGATACAGGAGGGAGGGTCGTGGGAATGGCATGTGGATGGTCAGGGGGCAATATTTCAATGTCCATTTGAATATGTATTGGCTGGCTGCCTATGGCCACGGGGCCCTCAGTGCTGACCAGATGGATTTGCATAGCTTTCTTTGGAAGTTGAACCTGCCACCTGGGACCTCCATCATCATTGCACATCCTCGCCCATTAAGTTGCCTAGTGGGTACAGCAGCATGGAGCAAGGCCAGCAGGCAGGCCCTTCATCATGAGCTAGAGCCAGGCGCCCACACAGGGACACGTTTGCTAGCCAGGTAGGAAGCAGTCATAAAGAAAGACTTGCCGCGGGGCTGGCAGGGATTTGCAAAGGTCACATCTGGTCCAGCTCCTGCCTGAGGCAGGATCAGCCCCGTGCAAACCAGGCCAGGCAAACCCACCATCCAATATTAGTGAAACCACCGTCAACCCGGACACGACACCAAACGCTGCACCCAAACCTGCCACCGGGAAAGCAGGGGGACTGCAGCAGCCAACATCCCGCAACTATGAAATGTTGTCAATAGATGCTCAAGAGACCCTGGGGAGAGGTCATGCCCCTGCTACAGAGGGGAGCAAACCCCCTCCAGACTGCACCAATCTGACCACCGGACACAATCCCTTCCTGACCCCAAATGTGGCATCGGTCTGACCCTGAGCAAAGGGACAAGGCCCCCTATACCAGGGACTTCAGGATGCCGGGAGCCGAAGGGGAGAGGAGTACGGGAAGGAAAAGGCATTGCATCTCTTCATTCAAACTGGTGGATCCAGCTGGCTGCCAGCATCGTAGGCCAGGATTTGGGACCCTGGATTCACCCCAGACAGTCACACCAGACTGGGCATCATCTCTTGGGCATGGTGCTCCCATCATCCACTTTGGGACCTTCACAACCAACGTTGCACACAAGCCTCCTTGAGTCTTGGAGGGAGGCAGAAGGAGTCCAGAAGCCCCGACAGCCCCGGGAGAGACCCTGAAACCAGCCGCCGTCTGCGACAGCCATCTCAGGACTGCATGCGGGGCATGGCTGGGTGCTGCCGGGCTGCTTCTTGTGCATAGAGAAGCCAGAAACTAAGAGCAGCCATGCAGTTCTCCTTCCCCAAAACCCTCGGTGAGGGGGAAGGCAAAAAAAAAGCAGGCACCAAAAAGGAGAGGAACTAGAACAAAAGATAAAAATAGCGGAGGAGGGGATGCCCGAGGGGCCGTGCTTTGAAGAGCCTCCTGCCAAGCCACCCGCCTCTCTTCTGAAATGGAGGGAGATGGGATGGGGCTCTGCAAGGAAGTCAGAAGCATCAGCCATGGCTCACAACCCAGCAGCTGGAAAGGGAGCAGGTGGGGGCAGCAGATCAAGGGATCTCCCTGCCTGCAGGCAGCGGCACAAGCGAGGAAGGCACTGGGATTACGTGCAACCCTGGTTACGCAGGGACCGTGTTTAAAGCCCTGTCGCAGACTCGCTACACAGCTCTCGAGACATTGATGCCTCTGGACACCATGCATGTGGATGAGCCACGTTGCCCAGCTCCGCAGGAGAACAGAGGACGAAGTCATTCAGACTTGCGAAGCACATTCGAGTCCTTGGGCGAAGCTGCGGAGAAAGGGCAGAGCTACGACGATAGCTGCCGTCCACCATGAGATCGCTTTGGCTTCAAGGCTGAAAGCAGAGACAAAGGCCTTTTGGTCCATCGTGCAGCTGGCAGCCACGCAAGAACTTGGGTTGAACCTGGCGGCCTGTTTTGCACCCTATGGAAAAAAGCAGCAAGTGGAAGATTTTCAGGTTTCCACCGAAACCAGAGGACTCTGCAAGCTGGGAAGTGGATGGGCCATCTGGGTGTCTCTTCCCCGAAAGTCACGTCTGGGTTATTATCACTCTAAATGCCCTTTCACAGCACTTTGACCCTCTCTTCCCACTCAACTGAGGCAGAAAGCTAGGAGTTGTCACATTCTGCCTTTCCTCCAGTTTCTCCCATACAAGCCACTGCTCAATGCACCATAAAAGCAGCCGTCAGGGTCAGGATATCTCCCACTCAGCTAAGCTAGCAAGAGATGTGCTCCATAAGGCAGCGATTCCCAACCAGGTGCCCCAGCACCCTGAGGTGCCTTGAGATCCCTTCAAGGGTGCTGCAGGGGTAGGAACAATTCACAAGATCAGCCCAGAGATCTCAAACAGGAATGCACCGCGTTAAACCATTCTGCTCTGTTGCATCTTTCCAAGCTATTTGCAAGAAAGAAAACGGCTCTGTTATTTTTTCCGCAGCTGAAAAGGAGTGAAAACGAAGCGGTGGCATTTTCCGTGGGGGCCTTGAGCCAAAAAACATTGAGAACTACAGCTCTAAGGGGCTGTCAAGAAGGGAGAAGAGGTACTTCAGCAAAAGGGCAGGAACTAATCAAGGTGAGCTAGCCAGGAGTATGCATAGGCTGGAAATGAGAGGCAGGTTTCTGCCCACCTGAGCAGCAGTGATGGGGAGAGGCACAAAACCCAGCTCTCCTTTTTAAGATGGAGCTGGATCGGTATTGACACAGGTCCATGCAATACCAGGGACTGGGCTTGGAGGCCTGGAAGGGGCCCTTGTTCCTAGGGCATCAAGGCCAAGGACAGTGGAGAAGATGTTTGGACACCTTCCCGGAAGAAAGACGCTTGATCCTTCCAAGGCACAAGTGAAGCTGGAACGGATCCCAGGCTGCTGGCTAGAGCAACCCTACGGCCTTTGGCTCAAGGACTCAGCTCTGGTGATTCTGGTGGACTGCAAGGTGGATGGAAAACTGGCTGGAGCATCAGGCTCAGAGGGCAGTGATCAATAGCTTGATGTCCAGTTGGCAGCAGGTATCAAGTGCAGCACCCCAGGGGTTGGTCCTGGGGCTGCTTTTGTTCAATGTCTTCATTGGTGACCAGGTTGATGGGATGTGGCACACTCTCAGCAAGTCTGAAGATGACACGAAGGTAGGGGGTGTAGTAGATAGGCTGGAGGGTCAGGCTAGAATTCAGAGTGACCTTGACAAGCTGGAGGATTGGACCAAAAAGACATCTCATGAGGTTCAACACGGACAAGTGCAAAGTCCTGCGCTGGGGAGGGAGCAATCCCCTGCACCGGTGCAGGCTGGGGGTGACAGGCTGGGCAGCAGCTCTACAGACAAGGACCTGGGGGGACAGGGGACAAGAAAATGAGCAGAAGCCAGCAGTGCGCCCTTGGTGCCAAGAAGGCGACCGGCATCCTGGGCTGCATTGGCAGGAGTGTTGCCAGCAGATGGAGGGCAGTGATCCTTCCCCTCTGTTCAGCACCAGGGAGGCCACATCTGAAGTCCTGTGTCCAGCTGTGGGCCCCCACTACAGAGAGGATGTGGACACATTGGAGAGAGTCCAGCGGAGGGCAGTGAAAACGGTTTGGGGGCTGAGAGACGTGACTGGTGAGGAGAGACTGAGGGAACTGGGTTTATTTAGTCTGGAGAAGAGAAGACCGCTGGATTGAACAGCAGCCTTCACCTCCCTGCCGGGGGGCTGCAAAGAGGATGGAGCTGGACTGGTCTCAGTGAGGGCAGATGGCAGGACAAGGAGCAATGGGCTCAAGCTGCAGCAAGGGAAGCTGAGGTTGGATATTAGGAAGAAATTTTTCCCCTTTCTATTGTTACAGGTGTTGTGAGGGTGGGAAGGAGGGTTGCATTCCTCAGAAGCATTCGGTGTTGACTGCATCCAAGGCTGGAGATTTTGACTGGGATGTGCTGTGCTCCTTCTGGGACTAAAAACCCAGAGG